AATTCATCTCAGAACCACCTACGCAACCAAACCACTTGTGGTCCCAAAATCCTTCCGGACAAGAAAATGACCGAAATACCCTACCCCAAGGGTAGTTTCGTAATTTCACATTTAATTTAGTTTTACCCTTTGCATTGGAAATGAAATAGAGTCGGGGTGTTACAAGTTGACCCTTTTTTTTTTTTTTTGGTTCCTGTTTTTGTTTCTTTGTTTCTTTGATAGAATATTTATTTTTAATGAAAGGATTAATGACCTAAATGGTCCCCCAATTATTGCTCTAGTATCATTTTGGTCCACCAACTAAAATTTTCATTTAAAACGTCCTTAAACTTTTTATTTTGTACTAAGATGGTCCATCTATCAAAGTTTGTGTATTATTCCATGAAATCGACTGGTAAAATTGTCCATATAAATTATAATATTGCCTAAATAATTAAAAATTAGAAACCAATTATAAAACTTAGAAAAAACTTTGAAAATTGAAAATTTTGAATCTCACCACCAACTGTAGTCCACTCACCAGGGACATGGCTTCTTCTTCTTCTTCTTTTTTTTTAAATTTTTTTTAATGTTGAGATTGACTTAAAAATTAATATAAAAAATTCTCAATTATTTAAATTAATTTAAAAAGTCATATAAATACAAAAATAAAATAACAAAAAGCTATAAAGAAAAAGAAAAACAACCCACCCCACCCAAATCTAGTCTTCCCCGACCATCCCCAAAATGCAACCCATCCCCTTTCCTTACCCAGCACAGATCCTCAATGACTTGATGGCCTCACAAAGAGGCTGAATTCCAAAGATTTTGATCTATTAGATCTCAACAAAAACCCTTTTCTCCCTCTGGACTTCTGTTGAGCAGCTGGTGGGAACTCAAAGTTGCATAACCAGCAAACAAGGACCTTCAAGCCCATTTCCATGGCTGCCATGGGGTCCGCCACTGCCTCCACCCCTCTATAATTCATATGACGCCGTATGCCCTTATCCAAGCAATTTCCCTTAACTGTCGGATCCAAGCAAAATCGGTCTCTCTGTTTCGGTGTTCTCGACTCAGCTTGCGGCTTCGATAGCTCCTTCTACGGCAAGTGTGAGGTTCAAGACCAAGCGGTTAGCTACGATGGTTGCAAGTGCAACTTTCACCTCACCTGCCTCGGAATGCGCGACCACCAAGTTGTGAATTTGGAGGAATAGGTATGTGAGGAGTGTACAGGCAGTGGGGTTAGGAGCAAGCATTGGCCGCTTAGAGTTTTTGTTTTAAATTGGTCGAAAGGCAAGTCGACCGGAACTTCGTCGTAAGGCAAGTCGACCGGAACCTCGTCGTCTAGGCGGTGGAGCATAAAGGATTTTTGGGAGGGAATGCATTCCTACGTTGGCTTGGTCGTTTTACAAGAGGATACTCACTTAAAATTACGATTTCGTCCCTCGATTTCACGGAATAATACACAGACTTTGACGGATGGACCATCTTGGTACAAAATAAAAAGTTTAAGGACGTTTGAAATGAAAATTTTAGTTTATAGACTAAAATGATACTGGAGCAATAGTTGGGGGACCATTTAGGTCATTAACCCTTAATGAAATATATTGGATTTAACTTGAAATATTAGTTTAGAGCATTTGGATACAAATATTTAATTTTCAACATAATACTTTATTTATTTTATAATTAAAATAATTTTTAGGGTGTGATGGAAACATATTTAATACACACAAAAACAAATATAATTGAAAGTGAAAATGCTTTCCCTTTTATCAAACACTTTAACAGAAAAATCATTTCAACATAATGCCTTTTTTAGTCATTATAAAAAACTCACAACACTTTCATAAATTAAAAAAAAAAAAAAATTACCAAACACTTAGAAACTGATTATTGTACCAACAACTCTTTTAAAAAAATGTTTACCAAACGCCAAAACTGCTTTCTCTTATAGCAAATTTGACAACGATTATTTTCACAGCATAGCAATGCCAAACTGGCCCTTAATACCCCCCCTTCCCTTAGTTTTAAAGTTACAAATGAACATGAAAAATACATAATATTAAGAAAAGAGGCCTAATAATCTTCAACCCAAATATGATTACCATACATATACACTATATATATTTTGAAAAATACATACATATACACTATATATTGTCTAAAACTCTATTACCATATCAAGGACATGGAATGTTGTGTCGTGAGAGAGGTATGATAAGACAGGTTAATTGATCATATACAAAGCTGTAATTTATTAATGCGAGCAAGCTACCTGGGACCATATGTGATGTCTTTATATGAATCCAGAAGTAACTTTCGTATACAATGGAACACAAATAAGGGCACAAGATCACGCATTTGTTTGTGTTTATAATGTAACCATGCATTTTCTATAGTGTAATCATGCATTTGGCTTTCTTCTTTGTTTACCTCAGAAAATTTGAAACCATGATCAACGAATATATGTTGTTTATTATAGAAGATTCATGTGTTTCAGGATTTGGCAATGAGGACAAGACAAATGAGCAATTGAATTCATACCAATCATAGTTTTGTATTTACAAGTCAATAGGCCACTAGTAAGTTGACATGTATATATTAGCATATAAAAAATTAAATAATTATAAATATCGGATTGGTACGTATTTCTGTTGAGTTAGGGATATTGTTACTCGTTAACAAAATCAAACATTTTGGTACGGATCGAATTAAAAATTAATTATTTAATCAAACCAAACCAACCTGTTAATACAGTAGGATTGGTACATGGATAATTCAGATAAGATGCCCACCTCACATTCCGAATGTTCAAAGAAAATAGTATAATATTTTTTTGGGTCCTAGTATTGGTTTCACAGAAGCAATAGAAAGAAGCAAAGTAAGGCGCGGACCAAAAGGAAAGTGACCACGTCACCAAATTTAAATTCCTTCCTCAAGAAGGCTACCATCCTTTTTTCTTTTCTTTTTAACTTCACTCTTATGAAGTCTGCGAAGCATAGAAGAGAGCCAGAAAGAGGAGAGAGAGCGAAACCCCGACCAAATAAAAACCCTCTTCTTCTCTTTGTCAACAAACATAAACAACTCTCACTCTATAACTTCTAAACCCATCAAAACCCTAAATATCAAAAGTATTTATCAATATATATTTATATATATTCACAGGAAACCAATCCCTAGCAATTCCAAAACCCTAAATTTTATTTCAGGCTTCGTCGGAATGTCGCCGGCGGCAGTGGATTTTCGCTCTCCGATCACCTCTATACCGACCAAATCCTCCTCTACTCCTGAAAACCCTAACCCTGTACCCGACGTGGCGTCCTCTCCCACCTTTAACCTCGGTGCTTCAAACGACAATGGAAGTCAGTGTCAGTTCGGTCCGAGTGTGCCGTCGCGATCGGGTCGGTCTCGGCCGAGGTTTGTGAAGATGAGGAAGCAGCATTCGAGGTCAAGAACTGGGTCGGGTGAGAGTGGGCCGGGGGTCAACCCGTTTTGCTTGGTAAGTGATGGTACTAGTTCTTCCAATGGGTTTAATTTTTCTAATGGTGATTGTGGGGGTGTGGATTTTGTGTTTGGTGCTAGAAAGATTGGTGGTGATGAGAATTTGGATAATGGGGAGGGAGGGAGTGGTGGAATAGTGAGAAATTTGGATAGTGGGGAGGGAGGGAGTAGTGAAATAATGAGAAATTCGAGTTGTAATGATAATTTGCATAATGGGGAGGGAGAGAGTTGTGATGAGAGGGGGCAGGTGAATACTGGGAATGGAAGAGAGTCTGATAAGCTGGAGAGTGTTTGTTATGAGTGTAGTGCAAAGCAGGATGGTCTGGGATCTAGTTTGTGTCGGGAAAAGAGAGAATTTTGTGAAAATGTTAGAGCGATCGTTTCTGAAGATAAGTGGAATGAAAGAACAGAGACTGAAACAGAATGTCAGAAGGGTGATAGCCGGGGTTTTGTGTTTAGTGCTAACAGCAGTGGTTTGAGTTCAGATTTGAAGTTGGATTCGAATCAAGAAATGAGAGTATGTGGTGGATATGTGGAGAAACCAAGCGCAGATAATAGTGGAAAAATGAAAATAGAGAGTGAAGTAGGGTATAATGTGGGTTCTGGGCTTGGATCTAGTCAAAGAGATTCAGCTCCGAAGTTGAATGCCGAAAATGGGGAGTCTGCAAGTTTTGTGTTTGCTACTGGCTCGGATGATTTTGGGTCTACTTCAAATACAGGAAACAGAGAACACAGTGAAAATGAGGGGACGCCAGGTTGTGATGGTATTGGCAGTACAGAAATTGGTAATGAAGCTGAGGAAAAGAAGTACAATGATATGGGTTTCGTGTTTGGTTCTAGTTTGAATTCCTTGAATTCAGGAAAGAAAAGCTCTAGTGGAAAACTGGAAAAGTTGGCTCCTGATGTTGTTGGTGGGAAGATGAAAGTAGAGAGTGAAACAGAGTTTGAGAAAATGGAAGCTGATCCTTTTAAATTTCATGCTGAGGAGCATTGCATCTCAAATAAAGATCATGATAAGGGCTTTTTTGTATTTGGAAGCAGCACTAAGAAAGGTTCCAGTTTGATTGAATGCAAGGTCGCGAAGTGTCAAGATGAAATGAAACTGGGTAGTGAAAATTTAGGAGATTGCAAGACCAATTCAGAAAGTAATTCTTGTGGTCAGTGTTCAGGAGGTCCTTATGTTGCCTCAGAGAAAAATAATGGAGATAATGATGAAAGTAGTGACCAGAACCATATCTTATTTGGAAGTGATAGAAACACGGAGGATGCCACTATAGGAATTTCTGGTTCCAAAAAATTAACATCTCAGGCAGGAAGTGATGAGAGTGTTGAGGCAGGACAGTTTTCTCATTATCCAATTAATAATAATACACACCCAAATGTGGCTGCTGCACCAGGTTCATCCTCATCAATTGGTCCTGGCATCAAAACCAATGGTTGTGTTTCTGAAGCAGCATCTGTGGGTGGAGTAAGAAAGAAAGATGAAAATAGTTCTACTGGCACTTCAGATGGTTTTGGAGTGTGCTTTGAGGACTTGAAAACGTCATTTTTGGATCCTTCCTGTCTTAGAGCAAATATTTTTCCTGAATTAAATAAAACTTCGGAGTTCGGTGTGAAGGGTAGGTCATTTAGGGACAAAAGATCAAGGAAACAAAGGGGAAAGTCGAAGCTGAGTAAGCAATGGCCAGTTCAAGGTCATGTGCCCAAGGAAAGTAGTTCCCAAGGAAACCCAGACCCTTCTGGATGTTACTCACCCATGGATTTTTCTCCCTATGAGGAAACAAGAGTTGCTGATCCACATTCAAGGGAAACTTCTGTGACATCTACGGACTCCAACCACCTAGTCAACGATAGTGCACCCTGTGGTTGCTGCAGGAAGTGGGTTGGATGACAGAGGTGATCAGATATGTAAACAGCCCATTGAGGAGAATACGAGGTATCATAGTGAGAAAATCTTTTTCCACGATTTTTTGTGGAAAGGTTCTGGTTCTGGAGCTGAACCTGAAACTCCCTGCTTTAGTTCCAAAAGTAAGCATGTGAGTAGTATCAGTGGTGCCGGTTTGGATTCAGAAGAAGCTAGAGTTGGCATTGGCTTAAATATAGAGAGACAAGAAAGTGATTGTAAAACACCATTTTTTGCTTCAGGTTTTGAAAATATGAAAGATAAATACTTCACATTTTTGGCATCGTCTTCTGCTCAAGGTAGCTCAATGATGGCAAAGCGCCAACAGCGTAGAAAGAAAAATAGGATGAAAGTTGGTCACAAGACGTTTGTTATAACTCCAAGTCCGAATGTTGAGTTTGGATCTTCTGACCTATTTACCCTCCACTCTAAGGAAACTTTATGTGCAGATGTAGTTGGTAAATCTGAAGCAAATGAACAATTTAAGCAAGTGAATATCTCTTCTAGTGCTGCTACTCATGAAACCTGTGAGAAATGGCGGATCAGGTGCTCCTTGCATTATACTTTTACGACGAGTTTTTATCTTTTATGTTTTACAACAATTTTTATTTGTTATATATGTTTCATTGGAGATGATTCTTATGTTTCTCACACGTGTAAGGATTTGGTTCTGTCAGGGGAAACGAAGCTTATAAAAATGGAGATCTTTCAAAAGCTGAAGATTTTTACACACGGGGAATAATTTCTATACCTTCTAATGAACGATCAGGATGCTGCCTTAAGCCTCTTTTGCTATGCTATAGCAACCGTGCTGCAACAAGAATGGTTCTTGGAAGGATAAGGGAAGCTTTAGGGGACTGTGTGATGGCTACTGCATTAGATCCCAACTTTCTCAAAGTTCAAATGAGGGCTGCTAAGTGAGTATTCCATTTGTATGCCTACAAATTATGAATTTATTATATTCCATTTGAGCCCATATGAGCAGATTAGAGAGAGTTTTAGTGAAGCTTGGGTTGGAAAATGCCACCCTAATCAAATCTAGGTTGAGCTCGAATTTAGGGATTGAATAACCTGAGTTCAACCAGAGTTCACTCGAATTCAATACCTAGAATATCCAAACATAGAACCTGGGACTCGACCTGATTTGAACTCAATACCCAACCCAACCCAATAAAAATATTTAATGCATTCATATATTATATCCCCATATCAACTAGTATCTTAAGCTATATGATATATTTAATGTTGTGGAACTTTTGTCAGATGTTGAATTGGTGTAACTAGTCTTGGATGATTTTACTCTTGATTTTGTTGATTTATGTTTACACAAATGTTTTTCAACGATTGGATTTGCTTTTATGAACTCGTGTTGTGTTAAACTCAACCTCACCATTTCGGCAACCCTGGCTAATAAGTTTACTGACGGATTGAGATGAGGTTGAGTTCATCGCAACCTTAGTGGGTTGTTCCCTGGTTTAAAACCAGAAAACACATCTCGGGTTGAGCTTGGTTAGCCTTTCAGCCCACTCGAGTTGCATTGGTGAATATTCTTTAACTGATATGGTGATTCTGTTTGTCATTTTATTTTATTTCTTTGAGGTAATTTGATTATTTTCCAAGCCATATGGAAATGGATTGTGGCTCGCTTACCCTCACTTAATAAATATTGTCCAAAGCTTATATTGTTGAAAAAGTTTCATGTATATCTATGCTGTATCATGTATGTGTTGTTGCTCTTGCAATGCATGGCTATTTTAATGTGTTGTATAATCTAAATATGCTTCTGTTTTTTATGTTAGTTGCCATCTTCTGCTCGGTGAAGTTGAAATTGCACGGCAGTACTTCAATAAGTGCTCAGAATCAGGAAGTGGTGTGTGTTTGGATCGAAGAGTTGTAATAGATTCTGCAGATGGCCTACAAAAAGTTCAGGTACTGCATTTATTTCTTGTCATATTTGTGATGGGGATGTAATAATGTTACTAATGCTGTTTATGCGAGCTGTATATCGATGAGTTAATATATTGATATACATAATTAATTTTTTTATGCCAAAGGATAACAGTTAGTGTGCTTGACATGAATTATGTGGCTTTAATATACACTTAATCAATGTTTTAAGTATTCTTCTCAATAGGGAATCTTATTATTCTCAAGCATCCAGTTATTTATAATAAACAATTTGTCAAAATGATGTGACGGCTATATATGTGATTTTTTTATTTGCAGAAAGTGGTCGAGTACACAAATCGTTCTGCCAAGCTGCTGGACCAGAGAACTACTGATGCGGCTCTCACTGCTTTAGAAATAATTTCTGAGGCCTTGTCAGTTAGTTTATACTCGGAAACATTGCTTGAAATGAAAGCAGAGGCTTTGTGTTTGGTCTGTGCTCTTTTGCCATATTACTCCACTCATTTATTTTAGTTAGTTTACTGAATCAATTAGAGTGTGGTGGTTGGTGCTTCTGTACATTTAACTGTTGGTCTCTTTCTGTTATCACTATGTTGGTTTCAAGCCCCCAAAGTGGTGGTTTCCCTCTTTATATGAGAGTTAAAAAATAATAATAAAGTGTTTGTTTCCTTGTACCCGAAGTTGTGGTCTAAATATTTTGTATATTTTTTGTTGCATTTTGCAGTTAAGGAGGTATGAAGAGGCGGTTCAGTTGTGTGAGCAGAGTTTGTTTTTTGCTGAAAGGAATTTCGCTCCACTGAACAGTGTTAGGTTGTGGAGGTGGTTCTTCATATCCAAGTCTTACTTTCATTTGGGTAGGCTTGAGGCAGCTCTTGATTTACTCGAGAAGCTAGATGAAGTGGAATCTACTAAAGACATGTAATACACAATGTTTTCTGCGCAGATTCAACTTGTGTGTTTTCCAGTTTAATCAGGGCAGTCCTTTTCTTAATGATATGGAAATTGCTGAATCTAATTTTAACTATGTAGGTATGCAAGTAAGACATTGGAATTAGCGGTTTCGTTAGCTGTCACCATACGCGAACTTTTAAGCCACAAGGTAAGTGCTCTGTCGCTTTAATTTCTTTGCAGTACGGTGGAGGATTAGTTGACATCTGCGTAGATGCCATCTAAGGCTATCATGCTTAGCGTATCATCTATAGTGTGTGTTGCGTCAGTTGTGAAGCATGCAATTTTAGCATATCCTGAATGGTTTTTAACTACAAAGAGAGATTGGTAGCGCATACTTCTACATCAAACCTTCATTAGGATAGAGAGTTCTCATTCTGGAAGTTGGAAAGTATAAATCTTAGGGTCACTTACCTGAAAGGACCCTCCAGAAACAAAAAGTTCCTGGTTATTCAATGTTCTCTAATTACTGGTAATATGTATCTAATAAATAACATCATGGGTACTAGGTTTTTTTCTTTGCTATAATATTAGAACGCAGTTTCCCCTGAATCCAAAGTAGGGAAGGAAAGAGATGCTTACAGTCAGAGAGGTCCCAGACTGCAGTGTTTTAAATTGCTGAGATAGTTCATCAACTGATTTATTCCTTTGTTTGGTTGAAGCCTATTCTTGGTGTGGGTTGGTGGGAGGTTGATAGTCATCTTTTACTGTAATGATTGTTATTTACAACTAGGCTGTTTTTCTTTATGCTGGCATACTGTTCATAAGTGCTCTTGTTCTTTTGTCTAGGAGCTTATACTTCATCCAATTGTATGGGATTGGAACTTTAGTTAGCTATGCCTATAATTTCGAGCATTTGAGTTAATCTTGAAAGTTTCAAATTAACACAATGAACTAAATTCACAACTTTCCTAAAACAGAATGCAGGCAATGAAGCATTTAGATCAGGAAGATATGCAGAAGCATTGGAACATTATACTGTTGCTTTATCTAGCAATTTCGGATCTCGTCCATTTTCAGCCATCTGTTTGTGCAACCGTGGTGCAGCACACCAAGCTTTGGGTCAAATTACTGATGCCATTGCAGACTGCAGTCTTGCCATTGCTCTTGATGGAAATTATGCAAAGGTAATGCCATTAAAGTGCATTTCAAGCAGGATACCACATAAGCACGTGTGGTAAACTAATAATTAACTTGTTCTCTTTCCTTTAATGATGTGAACAAACCCTGTGAATTTCTCTTTTAGGGTCTTTGTTAGCTCTTAATGACAGGCCTTGTCACGAACACCCTTTTTCTTCCTGATTACTGAGTTGTAGATATCAAAATTTGACAAGATCAATAGACTCTAATAATTTCATTGGAAATCTTTCAGACGTTCACCTTTCTCATTATACTCATTTTGTTTATAAAAAAAAAATTGCAGTTCTTTCTTCATTTTATATCTGTGACTACTTGAGCTTATGCTAAATTTGATGTATTCCGATTGATAATGTCAATGTTTAAGCTACAATGCATACAACTGAAGTCCTGGACTTCATAGAATGGTTTAAATAAGTTTGAGCTGCAATGCTGTAATAAATATTGTTCTATTTCTTTGATAATGAAGAGACAAGACAACTATACCATTTTGTTTTCTTAAAAAGAACAAAGTGTATTAGTTTGGTTTCCCTAATTTTGGCAAGAAATCAAGGTAGTCTGTTAAATGTTACCTTGTTTTGTACATGGTCATCCTCGGCCCCTGTAATTGTAGTTTATGAAAACCATTGTGTCAATATTCATAGTTTCAGTTTCTAAATAATTGATTTCTTTAGCACTGACTTATTCTGAACTTGAAGTAGTTCCATCAGTTTTCTTGTTTCTGACTGCTTCTGCCCTCCACAGGCAGTTTCTAGAAGAGCTACCTTACATGAGACGATACGAGACTATGGACAGGCAGCTAGTGATCTCCAAAGACTTATATCCATTCTAGAAAACCAATCTAATGACAAAGCCAAAGAGTATAGCTCAAAAGGTAGATCCAATGGCAGTGTAAAAGAATTACGGCATGCTCATCGACGAATGCCTTTGATAGAAGAAGAAGCTAAGAAAGGAATCTCTTTGGATTTTTATCTCATTTTGTAAGTTCTTATTATCTTAATGCCTTCATAGCTCAGTAATCGCCTTGCTCATATGTGATTCTAGGAGCCTAGTTTTTTCATACTGAATCAGTAGAGTTAGTATTTCATAAAATATAGACTGGTGTCAACGAATTTAGAGTTTTAAGATTTACGTTAAGGGAATCTGATATTATTAGATAAAATTACAATATGAAATCTCTCATTAAGCTTAATAGTCAGAAAAAGGAAAAAGTTATAAATAGAAAACGGGGGACTTATGGGCAGTTTTGGAAACACCTTGGTATTATTAAGCTCTAAGAAATGATGGATATAAGAGCCAGTGTATTTACATGGTGTAGATGCAAGCTTAGAAATTCTTTGTTGTCATTTATTTTAAATTTATTTGATTATGATTGAGATTTAGGGGTTGATTACTTAGCTGTATTTGTACTTATTTAATGTTTTCATGATAGTTTTATATAATTATTATTATCAACATATCATTATTTTTATGTCACTGGTAGTTTGATGGTAAAATTTCTATAAAGGTCTAGTTGAGTTTTTTTTATTTATGTTTATGCCTATTTTGCTGCAAATTCTGCAAAGAACTGATTATTGTAAATCTCAATGCCAGGGGAATTAAACCATCTGATGCAAGCCCTGATATCAAGAAGGCTTACCGGAAGGCAGCTCTCAAGCATCATCCAGACAAGGTTTTAAACTTTTATACCTCCGATTTTCGTTTAATCTTTGTTTGCTGTTCATTTTACTCTGACATCCTATTCTTTTGATTTTTCTTTTTTGGGCGGATTTAGGCTGGCCAATTCTTGGCCAGGAGTGAGAGTGGAGATGAAGGGCAACTCTGGAAAGAAATCTCTCAGGAGGTTCACAAGGATGCTGACAGGCTCTTTAAAATGATTGGAGAGGCATATGCAGTACTTTCAGACCCTGCTAAGGTTTTTTTCCCGCTTCATGTGTGCTACTTGATGTTTTACTTTAAAAGAATATTGGTACTAGGGTGTCGCTTATGCAACAGTAGTCCACGTGATTGATGCTCGAGTACTTTTGTGTCATTACACTTAGATTCGAACCATTTTATTTATGCAACATATTGATTCTACCAGCTCCTGCAATATATGTTATTTGCTTTTCATAGAGACATATTCTGGCCTTACTTTTTTTTTTCTTTTTAATGTTCATTTTAAAAACTTCTTAGCCTATATTGATACAGCAACTGCATTTTTTAAAATTGTGACCTTATACTTCGAGATTTCCTATTTTACGTCCTTTTTATGTTTTTTTGTCCTTTTGTCATGTTTGGTGGTCAAGTAAGATGATGATTCTTAAGTTGAATCTAAGGTTCGTACTTTTGACTATTAATTGAAGACCCATTCATTTTCAGTGACATGTCATGCTTTTTTTTTACTGTTTGATAGTCCTTTTAGATGGCAGGATGGTTGGTAACATGTCCAGTTGGAAGTAGCAAATTTGTTATACTTGAACCATGCATTTTACTAAATCTAGATGACCATTTTTTTTTTCTTTCCTGCAACAGCGCTCACAATATGATCTTGAGGAGGAGATGAGAAAAGTAGAAATTGAAAGCAAGGAAAGCGGCATTTATAGAAAATCTTCAGATTTTCAGAGTCCTGGACGCAACAGTTATAGAAGACCTGATTTCCATAGCTCTCCATTTGAGAGAAGTTCTAATAGTCGGACCTACGGCAGGGAGAGTTGGAGAACATATGGAAATTCGTATTCTCGATGGTAAAAGGGAATTGGAAGATTTGAGTTTTTCGCACAAGTGCACGGCATGTTTTTAAATGGCCCTAGTTTCATAGGGGATCGATGGAAATGTGCTGGCTGCTAGGGCTCAGGTAATTATTCTCATAATGGATCCAGTCAAACGTAGCCGCAGTCTTTGATCTGAAAGCTAGCTTTGAATGGATATCAAGATGTTGAGCCTGGTATCTTGTATATCTACAGGAAAAGAAATGAGAGTTTTGGTCATAATACAACAGCAATGTTTATACGTTTACTACCTTCAAAATACAACGATCAACACCTCAGTCCTGCACCTCCAATGCTCGGCAAGTGCTAGCGATTATGGAAGAAGAGCTGGAATTCTTTGGTTTACATCCATTTTGATGGAAAACAAACAGCGAGGATAAATAATTGTAAAATTTTTACGTGTTTGTACTAATTGAATAAATGAGTGAGCCCATGTTATAGATACTTGGATGGTGCCTTATAAAAATATGTAGCCCCGTACTTCTCTCTTCTGCTTGTACTCAACTTTCTCCAATTATCTTTAAATTCATCTTTTAGAAACAAAGTGTGGAAAAATCAATGGAATCAATGTTTTATCCAAAAAAATTTTAGAAAATTTTTCTCTCATTCTAACAGACTGAGGAACATAAATATGTGGTAATTTCACTCTATAGGGATTAACATCAAAATCTTTTTTCTGTGTGATTAGTGGAATGGATCGGACCAAATCTTTATCATCTTTCACAGCTGCTGAGGTTAGTTCCAAGCTTTTATTATTCAGAAGTTATTCACAAATATGATGTCACAACTTCATCCAAAGAGCTCATTAAGAACAAAACTAAGAAATGGGTTTTGGGAAATCCAATTTTCAGTGGTTCGATTAAAATGAGGGATAAAGTTGCAATTTGTTAACTTAGGGCTCATTCGATAACTATTTCAATTTCAATTTTTTGTTTTCATTTTTTTTGTGCTAGAGTATAGAGGAAAAAGAGGGAGAATGAAAGTGAGAATGAGAGAGTGGAGATGGAATTGAGAGGGGAGAGGAGATGATGGGAGGGAGGTGTAACAAAAGTAAAAATAAAAAACAAAAAACTGAAATCTATTTCAAATTGTTCACTTTCAAGATTTTGTTCTCACTTCTGTTACTCATCCCTCTCATCCTCTCTTTCAATCTCATCCTCTCCCATTCTCACTCTCATTTTCCTCTATACTCTAGAACAAAAAATGAAAACTAAAAACAAAAATTGAAATAATTATCAAACGGACTCGTAGCAACTATGCAACAAGTAGAATGCAAAACTTTGGAAAAATGGGATGACAAATTATAAGAGCGAGCTTCCTACAAATCCAATAACACCTCTTAATTAATTCTAAACGCATTCAACTAGATTATTCTGGGCATCTGAAAAAAGAGAAAATAAAAGACTAAATGGTGCAAGAGTAAAATTTGGACTAAATGGTGCAAGAGTAAAATTTGAACTCATTATCCATAAGCTTCAAAGCCAAGCTCCAAAGGTACGACAAAAAATAATGCCTCCAAAAGTAAATTACATTTTTATCCAACAAATCTCAACATGTTCCTGAGAAAAGCTTGTGAACTCCTTTGCAAAAATTTAAGATTTCTAGTCTTGCTAATTCAGGCCTCAGTTACAAGTCAACGAAATTTCAGAGAATATCTTGGATATCTAGGAACTGAACAAAATTTATCGAGCAACCTGTGACTGGGCATGTTCCAGAAGCTGACCAACCAACTTGTAAGTACGTCCGGATAATGCCTTAGTGTGGTCTATCAGTTGCTCATACCTGGAATCCAGTGAAACAATGAAATTTTTTTGTTAAAAAAAAGTTGAGAAAATTAAAACTGAAAAAAAGTGTGAAAGCATAAAAGACAAAACTGAGTCATAAACGAAAACAAGCGGACTCTTATCAATTTGGAGATCTATATCAATGAACTTACACATTCGGATGGTTAGGTTCCATTATAACAGTTCCAGACTGTGAGTCAATCTTGGCATCAAGCTTTGAGCTGCGAATTAGATTCACAATCCATCTCTCCGCTTCCTCATAATTCAAGTTTAACTTTTCTGCTAGCACTCTATCAAACAGCAATTCAATTAGATCTAGTATTTATAGAAAAGAGTGAAGAAGGTAAGTTAATTAAAAAAACCGATAATAATGGGTAATGGTACTAAAATACAGTCAATTATGTTTCTGAAAATATTTACGGATATGTAGTCAACCATGCATTATTCCTGCAATTTATATATGACCTCCAAATGCATGCACCACATACTAAAAAAATTATGCCTGAAATTTTTTATCTTAACACAAATCATCCAAACATACTCCTCTATCGCCCAAGCTCTGGACCAAAAACAAATAAGCATGTTAAGACTAGTCAATTGCACCCAAATATTTAAGAAAAATGACTTTTAGAAGTGCCTTGTACAGGGATGCACAATAGTGTCTTGAAAATCACAAGGAACAAGAATAAGAAAAGAACAATGCAAATGCTGACATATTTCTGCTCATAGACCACTTCCCATGGTGAAATACAGATTTTTATTACTGTTTTCCTTTCTTAGATAGAAAGTAAAATATTAAATGTCAAAACAAAGAGGTTGACACAGAAACAATCCCAAAAAAAAAGCAATTACCCCATGTCAATGCGCTGATGTATACGGCAGTAGGTCTCAAAGATAAATAGACGAGCATTTTCAAGGAACTCATCCCTCAATGGTACAGTTGAGAAATTGCCTTCTTCAACTCGTTTTCCAAGGAAGGGATCATTCAATATTACCTACATAGTCAAATCAAGTTTAATCCAGGGCCTAAACTGAAAAGATATACAACCAACTATTTTCAAGAGTAATTAAGGTACAGAAGAAGTCAAGCAATCCACTATGTTCAGGCACTTACTTCTTCACACTCCCTCATCTTTTTTTGTGCGCCATCAAAGTCATAATTAACATATACGCAGGTCAAAAACTCTGTTATTGGATCTTTATAAGAATTCTGCTCCTGC